GAGGTAGGTGAAATGGGTTCACTTGGTTTTTCAACCTCAGCCTTCTGATTGCCCTTTTCCCCTCTGATAAGCTGCTCCGTTGACAACAAAACAGCTGCAGAAGCTTTCACATTATCAGCCTCATCCTTCTGATCGTTCTTTTTCAACTCAGTAGGCTGCTCCCTTGACAACGGATCACCTATAGTTGCTTTCACTGCCTCTATAATGGACTTCACTTGACTACCAATTTCGTCTCTAAAAGCCCGAAATTCGTTCTCCATATTCACAACCCGACTCATTAGCTCATTCTCTCTGGAAGCAGCATCACCCATTGCAACTCTAAATTCTTGCCTAAAGTTGTCAATTCTACCCTCCATGGTAGTAAACCGAGCGTCAATACGCTCACAGAGAAGCAGCTCATCACCGTCGGGTTTTTGCCGTTTCCCATCTCTTTTTCCCCGTTTCCTTGCAGGTGATTTCAAACCTGCATCCTCAGCTGATCTTTTACCCGAACTGCTGGAAACCTACAAATTAATTAAAAAGGGAACCAAATGTACCATTAGCATGCTCCAACTCGTCAAAATAATCAAATATACTATCAGTCTTACCACTTCTGTTAACAATAACTCCACGTCTCCGCTCCCCCAGCTCAACAAATCCAAACTCCTATCAATAGTTTCGAAAATACCATTTGCATGCTCCAAGAATATTAACTACAAAAAAAAAATACTATAATCAACATGATGATTAATCATTACAAATATGTAGAAAGTAGGGATTAGCAATTATTTACCTCCAAGAACAGCAAGCAACCCGGTATATACTTTCTCCCCTCAGCATTATGGTCGCAGATGCATTTGACCAATTCATTGAAGCAAAACGATGCCCAATTCTTCTTCGGAATATCGGCAACATCGAGGACAGCGTATACCGAAGATAACGAAAAGTCATCTCTTCTAGTTGGTACTAATAGCACCCCCATTACGTACAAAATAAACGTTTGAAGAAATAGATCGCCGCTATCTTTCATCTCCGACAAAGCCTTCCGCATTAAGCTTGTCGAAATCGCCTGTCGGGCACAATCAACTGTCGAATACACTCTAAATGGATTCAATTCCTCGGATCTTCGTCCCACTTCTTCACCATTCAAGATGATATCAGTACCTCCCTCAGGCACGCCCATAATTCGCTCGAAATCTTTGGCCGAAATATGGACTTTCAACCCATAAGCCTGAATTGAGCTTTCTTCCACATTAAAGCTCTTCAAAAGGATCTCCAACAACTCACGTTGGAGCATTCTTCCTTTGACTTCAAGCATACGACCAAAGCCACATCTCTTAATGGCCTCTGATTGACAAGCCTCTAAATTTGAGACTACTGAGAATACTTTCCTAGGAGAACAGCGGGTGCTAAAAATTTCATGACTCTTCGTCTTCATTATAGAACAATTTTAGCAAACTGCAAAATTAAAACAACAAAAAATTATAAGCATGCCTTGAAACACGAATTATAAGCATGCCGAAGAGTACTAACAAAATACACAAAGCCAGAGTCGTCCACCACTGATCTAAAGAAGCAACTTTCAGTTTTCACACTTAAACACATTCGAGAAAACGTGGTTATGACAAAGTTTCATTCAAGAAAAGGATCATTTAATCATTCGGTAAACACATTCTCCAGGTAATGAGTTCAATCCTGGTTTTCAATATATGGCTTTAATCAATATTGAACAAATACAAGACTATACCAGAGCTCACAAGCACACATGCCTCGATATCAAGTTCTAACTACCAGAAGAAATGAAAACCCCCTACATCAACACCTGAGTACACTAATTAACCATGAAATCCGCCATTGGCATATATAAATTTCACCCAAAACACCCAGCTTCCATTAAATTTCACCCAAAATGAAAATTCTCACGGCCGTGACATGACCCGTGAGAAGCAAAGAGTAGTTTTCATATCCCAGACAATCTCACGGCTTTGGTTTCAAAAATCACGGTCGTTAAACTAAGCCGTGAAACTAAAAACACCCTGATTTTTCAGTACTTCAAAGCTACTAGAGGAGTCACTTATCAGTACATCAAAGCTACTATTCTAACCTCCCAAAGCTCGATCCACCTATGAAATGATGCATCTGCATTTTTCAGCATTTGAAATACCACACCAGTACCTACCAATCCTAGTCCCATTTTCGCTCAAATGGATGTTTCGAGTGATATGACAAACGTAGCTGTTGCAGTAGCCTTGTCTAATCCGAATGCAGTAAATAGGAAACCAAACAGCTTCTTGCATGCTTAAACAAAAGGTGATCAAGTACATACTTTTGTTTTATAGAAGAGTGGACAGCAAGATCCAGAATATTCAGACACAAGATCATTGTACAGAGAGAAGAAAGGGCATCATCTCTTGACTATTTCAGGTCTCCTACATCTATGCTAATCGGTCAATCTTTATCGATGTACTTCATAATGATTTGGAGATCAGCAAGCAAGCAGATCAGTTGACAAAATATATCCCACACAACTAACCATCGCAAGATATTCGAATTAGCAACCCCCTCCAAAAAATTTAACAATATGAGAAGCAACAAGGACAAACTTTGAGCAATAGCTTAATGACTAGAGACCTCACAGAATTGAGAATGCTTCATTTCTCTTGCGTTTCCTCCTCAAGTCACCCTGATTTCATGAACTAATTCTTGACTAACACACTCAATTGCACCTTTCATGCAGCCAAGCAAGACCCTTCAATTAACAGTCCAAAATGTAATCAACAAGCAACGGTAACGACACTACAATACCAACAAGACCAAATCAACTCTTCCAAAATTTTCTCTGCAGACTCAGTTTGAAGGCAAACAACAATCCAACTTGTCTCAAGCCAAACTGAAAAGAATCAAACTTTGAGTATGAACTTTCCTATTCGATTTGCCTCCATAAAACACAAATCAAGTCTCTCCAATCAAAAAGCTAATACTGGCATGCATAAAGGAAGGAACACAATCGCTAGCTAGGTCAGATTGGAGCAACTTTTTTTGAGATCACGCATGGTTGGGAACAATAATACTGGAATGCAAGGTTCACTAGGTGAATCACACCAAAACCAGCTGTGACCATCTCACGGGTTAATCTCACGCCCGTGAGATTAACAGATGAGCCGTGAGAAGTCCAGCATTTCAATTACACAAACACGGCTCATCTCACGGCCGTGATACTGTCGAACCCAACCCGTGAAAACCCCTGGAACTCCCCCCCTTTTTAAAAAAAATCTAATGGTACATCTCCCGGCCGTGAGATTTTCATATGTGAGGCGTGTTTTGAGTTTCAGCTGTGACCATATCACGGGTTAATCTCACGCCCGTGATATTTACAGATGAGCCGTGAGAAGTGCATTTTTACAGATGAATCTCTAATCAGAAAAATAATACTAGAATGCATAAAAGAATGAACTAATGATTAAGCATGAGGAGAAGAAGTCCAAGGTTCACTTGATGAATCACGGCATAACCTATCAATTGCATCACAATCTTGCTCTAATAGTAAACCGAAGTACTAATCACATAAACGTAGACGGAGCCAGCATTCAAACGAAATAAAAAGCTCAAATGAATGCAAAGAATCACATAAGACTAATGCAAAGCTCATGCAAAGAATCACAGAAGACAAATGCTTCGATTACCCTTTTCTAGAATACATCCACACAACAACCATACTACAAATAGTTGCTAGCTTAACCACAATGGGAACATGATTAGGACTCCTCTCCCAGCGCTCAGAAAGACAAGATGAATCGCATGCTTGGAATGACGATTATGTAACTCAACAAGGCAATAGCTCTCTCGACACGTGCAACTCACACCGGTTTTCCAAGTGAAATGGAGTTTCACTTGATGAATCTCTAATCAGACAAACAATCTTGAATAACAATTCACGGCTGAAGTTAAAAGGGCAAGATTTCAGTAACTTGCCTGGAATTGAAGACTAAGATTGCAGCTCTATCACAAGAGAAATTGAATTCTGAATCCAACGTGTAGTATCTGAAAGAGTTACCAGATCAAAGTCCCTACACATAATACAAAAAGTGAAAGTGAACTCACGTAAACAGCAAAAATCATAGACAGGTTACGATTAAGGTGATGCTAATACTGCAGCTCCTTGTGGCAGTACAAAAGCATCCTAGAAGAAAGAAAGGATCCTACTGTATTAACCATTACGTACTACGGATGGGGCATTAAGTAATTCAGGCTAGCTTTTTTCCTAGTTCATCTTCCATTATCCGCGAATCCGAGACTCAACACTTCACCTGGGATTTCACTAGCTAAATGAACTTTCCGTGGAGCACTTTTGAACTAGAATCCCCAGAAAATTGACCAAGATCCAACATTTAGATGGCTAGCAATTCTATTGTTCAGAGTCTACAAAGTTTCCAATATCTATTTGATCCTAATTACTGCTCAATATCATCAAGGATCTCTAAATTCAGCACAATAACAATCCATAGTTTGCCCATCGCTTTTCCCCAACTAAAAACAATCAAATCCCTAACCCACCACAGAAATCCAAAAGCCACGCTCAAAAAGTTCAGAAAAGAGAAGAAGAATAGCAAAAACCACCAAACGAATTTTCAAAACCCAGAAAGTCAATCGTCTTTTTTTACCTGAAGAGCGGACAATCGCTCGGTGTAGAACTGCTCGACGGTATCGGAAAGGCAAGTCTCGTTGAACTTGGAGCAGACTTTACCCTCAATCAAGCAGCTCTGAATCTTGTTCCAATTCTTCCCTCCGGTGACCCGCTAATCAACCCCTTCACTATTGACAATGAGACCCACCGCGAAAGAGCACAATCAGCAGAGACCCGCCGCGAACCCAATCTCACCGTTCCCGTCGCCGATGCTCAACCACTTCAATATCGTCAAAGAGACCCACCGCGGAAGAGCATAGTCCACAATCGCGGAAGAGGAAACTTGAAACCCCAAATCTCTTTCTTCTCACAGCGTCGCCGTCGCAATTACCCCTTGATGCAGGCTCTCGACGAGCTCAATCGTTTGCAATCGACGAAGAGATGCTCGCTCTCGTCGTCCCTTGCTCGCCGCCTTCACTGTCGTTGTCGGAATCCGGCTCGCCGCAGTCAAAGAGATGCTGCAATCGACAAGCTTCTTCTACTCGTCGTCACCCACTGCTCGCCGTCTTCACTGTCGCCGTCTTCACTGCTCGCTAGCTGCATGGAGAGGATCGAAGGAAGAGGATAGAAGGAAGAATGGTTTCGGCGGTGAGAAGAGGTGAGAAGAATGGTTTCGGCCGTGAGAAGAGGTGTGAACCCAAATAATTTCAAGCAACCGGTTGTACCGGTTGTCCCAAACAAATAAAATAATATATTAATAATTTAAATAAAATCTAATGGTTGATAAAGGTTGAACATGATCTAATGGCTGTAAATGTTTTATAGCACCAATACTATAAAGCACACTAAAATGCCTCATGCACGAGAGGGTACTCGTGGTAGAATCAACATAATCATGACCATGTACATTTCTCTCAATATCTATTTACCTATGTATCGAATAGCTTCCCATGCCTCTAAAATCTAGGATGGAAAGCTAGAATTAATTCCTTCTTCTGTCACTGTAGGATTAATGTTCTCATTGAGACAGTATGTTGAGCAGAGAAGCTCTAGATTTGATCAACCTCCTGAAAACACCCTCCAAACTAAATGTGCACAAGGCCTGACTTTGCTATTATCCAATCAAATGTTTTATAGTACATGGAAACAAATTGAGCAGCAGAAGATGAGGAACAAAAAGAGTGGTTTAGGAGTGGAGGGTGGAGCACAAATATCCACTATTAACAACCTAACAATAAAGAGAAAATGGAAGAACATTCCACATCATCACGCCCCGCAAGTTGAGGCTCGGAGAGTCAAATCTTGGAGCAGAACTTGTTGATGGACAGCCGGGGTAAGGGTTTGGTGAGCACGTCTGCCAGTTGATAAGGAGCTGAGAGATAATGTACACGTAGGAGTCCTTTGCTGACTTGATCGCAGACAAATGGAAGTCAATCTCCATATACATGCCTGGTTGTGGAAGACAGGATTATGCGCGAGAAACGTGACACCAAGGTTGTCACACCAAAGTACCAGAGTCGAGGGAATTTGTTGTCCCATCTCATTGAGTAAAGAGCGCAGCCATAGAACTTCAGAAGCTAGTGTGGCGAGGGAACGATACTCGCATTCAGTGGTGGATCGGGCAACAAATTTATGCTTACGAGTAGACCAAGACACCAAATTCGAATCACAAAAGACTACAAAGCCAGTGACGGACTTGCGATCTTTGGGACAGGATGCCCAAGAAGCATCAAAATAGCCATGTATATGAAGAGAGTGGCACTTGGAGAAGACAAGGCCATGATCAAGGGTGGCTTTGAGGTAGTGCAGAATCCGTTTAACAGCTGCCCAATAATTATCAATCGGAGAATGCTGAAACTGTGAAACATGGTTTACCGCAAATGAAATATCTAGGTGAGTGAAACTGAGATATTGCAGTCCACCGACTAGACTGCGATAGAGGGTTGTATCCGTAAACAGAGGTGAAGAATCCATGGCAGAAGTCTGAATAATATCGCCGATAGATGGAGTGGAAATGGCATTGGCTTCTGACATTTTGGCACGCTCAAACAAGTCCAGAATGAATTTTCTTTACTTAGAATCATGCCTGATGGTGAGCGATGGACCTCAATTCCAAGGAAGTAAGACAAGGGCCCCAATTCATGGAGAGCAAAGTTGTCTCACAGAAATGCAAACAACCGTTGAATAAGAGGATTGTCATTGCCCGTGATGACGATGTCGTCAAAATACACCAACATGTAAGTCGAACGGAACCAGTCTTGTAGATGAACAAAGAAGGATCTGTGCAGGAGACCCAGAAAGCAAATCGTGTTAGGGCGAGAGAAAGACAGTGAAACCAAATGTGTGGCGCTTGGCGGATTCCATATATTGATTTTCGAAGCCGACAAACATGATTCGGTTTGTCCGGATCAACGAAACCCGAAGACTGTTGCATATAAACCGTTTCCTACAACTGACCATGGAGAAAAGCATTTGCAATATCAATTTGATGGAGTGGCCATCCCTGACTAACCACGAGACCAAGAACGAGTTGGAAGGTAGCCACCTTGAGGATCAGGCTGTACGTTTGATGAAAATCCAATCCCAAAATTTTCCAAAACCCGCTAGCAACCAAACGAGCCCGATGCCAATCAAGTGTCCCATTTGGGTGGAGTTTAGTGTGATAAACACATTTGTTGGAGTGGAAGAGGAGACAGTTAGTTGGGATGGGGATTGTCATAGTGGGCTAGGTGAGGAACGTGTGGATTTGGAGGCAGGAATTGGGGATGAAGAATTAGTAGTTGGGATTACGGATGGCAACAAAATTCGAACCCATAGGTACCCTACCCGATCCAACCCGTTCAACGCGGGTAAAATCCATGTTGACGTGTTTTGGATCAGGTTTGGGTTTAAAGTCGTTCACTATTTATCGGATTGGGTTGGATTTGGGTTTAGGTATACCAGCCCCATGGATACCTGCCCACACTCATATAATTAATTTTTCTGGTATATTTAATATTCTAAACAACTAATCTTCTTTATGTTTGTGGAGACATGTCTAATTTTTTCTTTCTAATTGTGTAGAATGAACTTGATGTTATCGAGTGGAGAGGGAAGAAGTTTAATTGACAAGGAGGAAGAAGCTTTCAATTAATCATGTTGTTTATGGTTAATTTGTGATTTGCTTCAATTTTCTTGAGTAATCTAGATTGGTATTGAACAATTTGTATGGTTAATTTGTGATTTGTTTGAATTTTCTAGAATAGTGTTTTATATATGAATAGTTTGTATTGACATATTGATATTTGAATTTTATTTTGATAAGAACTTGTTATTGTAAATTTTTTACGACAAAAACTCATGAGTACCCATGAACCCGCGGATAGCCAATGAGTTGGGTTTGGGTTTTCCGAACGCAGTGAATTTGACCCCGAATTTTTTCACGGATAAACCCATGTATTTGGATTTGTATTTGGCCCAACCCGACCCATTGTCATCCCTAGCTGGGATAGACTGGAGGGAAGAGACAGGCTGGTCATGAAGAGAAGGTTGGGTGGGGGAAGTAAGAGGGTAATGTGGAGATGGGTTGCTGGGTTGCTGGGCTGGGGAGTAACGGGAGGATGGCTGGAAATAATGGGTTTGGGTGGTGGTGATGGGCTGGGAGCAGTGGCGGGTAGGGAGGAAGCAAAATAGGTGAGGAGGGTAGAGGGTTGTGGGCCAGTGGGCTTGTGGTGGGGATGTCGGTAAATGAAAATCGGGTCTAATCAAATAGAACATGTCGACTCACATAGATATGATAAGTGGGAATATGAAGGCAACGGTAACCCTTGTGAAGTTTGCTATAGTCAAGAAAGACACATTGAAGAGAATGAGGGGCAAGTTTGTTTGGTGTGAGTGGACGAAACCAGGGATAACAAAGACAACCGAAAACACAAAGATTAGAAATGTATGGAGAACGTTGAAGGAGAAAATGAAAGGGAGTATCGTTATGAAAGAGTGGTGTAAGAGTGCAATTAATAAAATACCAGTAGTGTCAAAGGCAAGAGGCCAGTATTTTTGGGAACATGAGAGTGATAAAGAAGAGCAAAACGATTATCGACTATGTGGAGATACATCCATCCCCGACTACCTTCAGAATGCCAGGGCTAAAGCGGATCAATTGGCGCCGCTCGGATATCCAGTCACCTACGATGATCTCACGGGCTGGATTCTTGACACCCTAGGTGAGGATTATCACCTTTTTGTGCGCCATTTCAAGGCACTGATGGATGCGATCAGTTTTGAGGACCGCCTCTCTCTGATGTTGAGTGAAAAAAGTCAGATTCAACGCCATTCTTCACGCATGGACTGCTCCCGCCGCCTTCTTCTCCAGCACCAGCGGCTTCCGTAGCAGAGGCCTACTTAGCGATTCCCAAAATCTCGTCATTGGCAACCATTTTATTTTTTCGTTGCCGATTTTCAATTTTTTCGCCCAAGAATGCTAAGTCCTTCCCGTTCTCTTCCTTTCAACTAAAAAATATAAATTATGCTCGAGTTTGTGGAAACTCCAATAACGACAATGGCTTCGACTTGTAGTGGCGGCTCCAACGGTGGAGGGGTGCTGCAGCTGGCAAGCGTTTTTTTGGTCGAGATCTGGTTCGATGGTTGAATTGTTTGATTATTTATTAAGACATTTTTAAAAAGGGTAATAATATCTTTTTCATAAAACTATTACAGCAAATAGTAACCTAAAAGATATTATGTATGTGTCAGTAATTTAAAATTAGGTTAACATCATTTTTAGTCGAAGAATTCAATATCAATCAGTCCATTTCACGTGAACTTGGTGGGGAAAAGAGACGCAAAGGAGGATATTCATGGTAGAATTAACAAAATCATCATGACCATATACACTTGTGTATCTATCTATCTATGTATCTAATAGCTTCGAATGCCTCTAAAATCTAGCATGGAAAGCCAGCCATCTTAGCAAAGATTCAGAAAATTTCATTATTTTGCTATAGTAGAATTAATGTTCCTACTGAGACAGTATGTTGAGTAGAGAAGCTCTCGATTTGATCAATCTCCTGAAAGCACCATCCAAAACCACCCTCAATGTCCTTAAAACACTTCTCCACTGATTCCAATTCTTTGGTACCAAATTCCTTCTTCCCCACATTCCCAATCAACAGAGCAACATCCGCAGCTTGAATCTCGTTCATCATCTCGCACTCAACGGCCGCCACCTTGCGCGTAATCACCAGCTTGGACGCAATCCCCCACTTGCTCTGTTTTTTAGCCCTGCCGCCACAACCGGCATCGTAACGAATCTCAACAACGCTCCTAACACGCAGCTGCTCGCCGCATTAACTTCTCGCATCACCCTAATTACAGCACTGAATTGCTCATCAACATCACCCTGATCGGCCGCCGGAAACTTGTAATTATTATTGCCCATCTGTTGCTTCAACTGCGCAACCAACTTCCTGGCGTCTTTCCCCGTCTTCCTCCTCAATTGAAAGTAGTCAGACACAGAGGATTCTAAAACAGAGTCGCCTTTCCTTCTCCTTCGGATTGCGGACTGGAGGGAGGCCACGTTTTCTCTTAGCCTCGAGATCACATCCTTAGCGATCTCGCAAGTATCCATAAGCTTCAGGGATCCTTTCAAGAAGAGCTTCTCCTCTGCCACGCACCGACGGCGAGACAGAGCTTTTTGAGTCGATGGCAGGGCGAGAAGCTCGTCCACGCTGTCGTAGATGTCTCTTAGAGTGGATAAACTGTTGCAGATGGCGGAGCTAGAAGTAGAAGTGGCCGGCGCCGATGTTGATTGCTCGAATGCTCTCAGCTTGGTGAGCTCTTCGTGGATTTTGATGGTTGTGTGGTGGGATCTGGTGGGCAAGCTCACTGATCTCGTCTGGAATTTGGCTGCCATTGGTGAATTAAAAAGTTGGCTTCTTTCGCTTAGCAGCCTATGATGATGAGAGGAAATAAGAAAAATGTGGGCTGCCATACTTGTATTTATAATCAGGAAAGGATTCCATGTGAAGAGAAGAGAGAGGGAGCCTGCAAATTTGATCGGTCTCCATGTTACATCACTGGCCAGCAAGCGTATCTCCAATCACAGGATTCTGTTTCTACACTTTATAATGAAGCTATGAGGTGGACTGTGGTTTTGTCATCCGGGTGTCCCCTTTTCCTTTTCTAACTAAATCTTCGGCAATGAGTCACTGCCCTAATCTGCCTCCCTGCTGCCACATTACTTCCCTGCGCACTAAACAATGATTTCTTGCTTGTAAAGTAAGAATGTTAGAATATGACTTGAATTTGATTTGGGTTTGTTTTGTGTTTTGGCCCTATTTTGTTTGGATTTGTGTTTAGGCTTTGTTTGACCTTTTCCTTGCATGTTTGAGAAAAGGTGTTTGGTTTTTCTGTTTGGGATTAGGAGAAGAGTTCTATAAATACTCTTCATCACCCTAGTCTGTAGTAAGGTCAGTCAGGTTTGTTTGTTTGGTTTGTCCGTTTGGAATTTGGTTTGTAACCTCTACTCTCCTCAAATCAGTGAAATTTGTCCCCCCTGCCCGTGGATTAGCTAGCACACATTGTGTTAGTGAACCACGCTAAATTTGTGTTCGTCCGTGTTGGTTTGGATTATCGATTGCCACGCTTCTGTTCTGACAAGTGGTATCAGAGCCTTTGGTTGTGGTTTTGGGAATTTGTCGCTGGACTGAAGTTTTGCTTTGTGGAGGTAGCTTTCAATTCTTCAGCTTGGTTCGGTGGAGGAATCGCTTTGAAGTTGACTTTGGGTAGTTGTGCTTTGGTCTTGTTTTTTTGGTGAGAAGTTTGGTTGGATGTTTGTTATGGATTTGAAGATTGAGAAATCAATTTGGAGTTGCAGGCTTGGAGTTAGCAGTAAATTTGATGTTGGTGTTATGGACGAAAATAACACCAAGCTGGTTCTGCATGGCAAGTCCCAACATGGGTTGGACTTGCTGCATATTTTGATTTGTTGATCGCCCTTAGGGGCATCTGGAGGCAGTGGAGATTCTGGTACAGCTGATTTGGAGGAGTTTGGTATGTCTGGCAATCTTGATTGCATCTGAGTTTGGCGATTTGCATCGCGTTGGGTTTGGTGATTTCGATCACATCTGGATATCTGGCGATTACGATCGCATCTGGGTAAATTTGGCGATATGTATCGCGTCTGGGTACATCTGGCAACTTTGGTTGCATCTGGTACATCTGGCAACTTTGGTTGCGTCTGGTACATCTGGTATTTGAGAGAGAATTCAAGTCAAGGTGGAGATTGTTAGAATATGACTTGAATTTGATTTGGGTTTGTTTTGTGTTTTGGGCCTATTTTGTTTGGGTTGTGTTTGGGCTTTGTTTGACCTTTTCCTTGTATGTTTGGGAAAAGGTGTTTGGTTTTTCTGTTTGGGATTAGGAGAAGAGTTCTATAAATACTCTTCATCACCCTAGTCTGTAGTAAGGTCAGTCACGTTAGTTTGTTTGGTTTGTCCGTTTGGAATTTGGTTTGTAACCTGTACTCTTCTCAAATCAGTGAAATTTGTCCCCCCTGCCCGTGGATTAGCTAGCACACATTGTGTTAGTGAACCACGCTAAATTTGTGTTTGTTCGTGTTGGTTTGGATTATCGATTGCCACGCTTCTGTTCTGACAAAGAAGATGCATGCTTTTTCATCTCTTATATTATGGAATATTGTGGCATTTCTTGGGAAGGGGTGCACCAGAAAGAGACGACCCTGAAAAAAGCAATCTTAGAGCAAAATGATGTGATAGTTCAACATCTAGCTTGAGCTGGTTTGGTATTAAAGAAAGAAACCACTATTGTGAGGTCAAAGGGGCATAGTATTTTTATTTCTCCACCGCCATGATTCCAAACAGTATATGAGCTGTCAAGACAACACTTAGCCCTATATCCAATTATCCATCATGCATGCATATGGTCACTCAATACTGCTAATAAGAATTCGGTGGGTGATTCAAGTCATTCTATACATATTTTACTTATTTGACTTTGTCGTTTGACTTATATAGTATCGACTTTAGAGCCACTTTACGTTAGATTTTTTTTTATTAGCATGTTTCAGGCTCTAACAAGTAAAATGGGCGAAAGGATCAAAAGTCGGACGAAAGGGAGAGAAAAAGGGACAAAATGTTGGACATTGCATGGATCACGGTTCAGGGCAGATTTTCACGGCTAGGAGTAAGTGAAGGTTACAATGAAATTGTGAAGGACGAAGCTTCCCAAGAGCATTTAGAAGTCTTGCAGGGCATTGCACATATCATGGGTACAGGGAATGGATTTTACAAAGAGACTCTGAAGTATTTAAGTGAAATAGGGTGTTTTGTGTAGAGATCATGGTTTCACTTTGTTTATATTGTAGTTTGATAATTACAAACTCTATGTTGTGATTGACATATTTGATTATATATTGATTGTGAACTTATCATGATAATTGAGAGTCCTTGATTAATTCACTCAATTTAGAGGCTAATTAAAGTAAGAGAGAGAAGATCTCTTTAGCGTAATTTGGGTCCATGTTAGGGGCCACAAATGAGGGTTATTGATTTCTTTAAACCGTTTCGGGTCATCGCTCGAGGGAGTGAAATTGGTTTCCCTCATTGCCTAATCTAGTAGTTCGGTATGCCTCTCTAATCAGAGCAATTAGGCAGGTTTAGGACAACTCGAATATGAACTTTGATAGAAACCCGGATTTCGGGTTCTATTGGTTTCTAGGGATTTGGGGAAAAGAGCGATCACCAAGGGGGTAATCTAACCTTGGCTCGTGGAATGAAGAAGTGAAGGGGAAGTTTGGGAGTTGAGGGGCGGAAGAAGAATGAACTGCCGCAGCAGCAGTTGGGAAGAGGAGGGTTTTTGGCAGGGAGAGGAGAAAGAAGAAATTAGGGATACGTGATTTAGGTTTTAATCTTGCTCAGTGGCTATTTCCCACGTACAAGAATATATATTTAAAGGAATAGTTCGCTAATACTACCCCAAATTATTAAATACCCACAATAAATCCCAATAAGTTTTAAGAAAAATAAATTGACAAAACAATCAGAATAATCAAACTGCAGAAAATACGATTTCTATCAGACTTCTAACTAGTTTGGATCTCATAACGGTATATATAATATGCAAATCACATTAGAGTATCACATCATCGACTCAACACGGGACTAGGGGGTAATTAATCATCTGAGTGAAGTTTTCTTCATTGAATTCAACCTTTTTTATATGCTTGTTTGTTTAGTTCATTAGTTTAAAACAATATTTCTAACGTTAGATAATTTGTGGTTTGCTGAAGTAAGAATACATAGGCCACTCGAATTTGATAATTTGAAAACTACTTGCTCTATACTACCCCGATTGAAGGTTCCACTAAGCCTTCAATTGAGAGTGTAGTTAGAACCGAGCCAAACTTTTCTTGGGCCGTTGCTGGGGACAGTGATTTATTATCCTGAAAAAGTAAACTAGTGTCAATCTATCATTTAGGGATGGCAATTTGAACCTGCCCCGCTAGGTATTACCCGAACCGTAGTAGTGTGGGGCGGAGCATGGGTATCAACTTCTGACCCGCCCTGCCCCGCCCCGTTCTTAACCCTTTCTAGGTCAATTTCTTATGTCATTCATTCATATATCTCCTATTTTGGCTTTTCTTCAACTAGTTAGACTTGATTTTTCAACCAAGTAGACTCAATTACCCATTATATTCTCACTATTATTCATTCATGAAGCATTTTCCCCTTCGTTTTATCCAAAAAGGTAAAAAAAATTGTGTATTTTTTCAAAAAACACATAGGAGTGGGTCGACCCGCCTGCCCCATACCCGCGCAGGTATTACCCGCCCTGTCCCGTAGTAGCGTGGGGCGGGGCATGGAGATTGAGGTACCCGCCCCGCCCCGACCCATTGCCATCATTACTAGCATTTCATTTCTTGCATTGTGTTTGTTGAACTTTGCTTGTTGGCTGTTCTTTGTATGCAAGTGGTGTATGACGCGGAATAATCTGACACCCTTGGAGTCACTAGACAACAATATCAACTAGACTCTCGGACTACTTGCTCGTGAGAGGGAGCTAAGGAAAGTGAAGGAAAGACTTTTAGGTTAGGCTCAAGATGTTGACGAAATAAGGACTACGAGGTACTATATGAGCCCACGGGTGGCAGACATCCACTCGTGGTGCCAACCAATTTAAGATCAAGACTGTATTCATCAATGTGATTCAAAGCAATGTACAATTTTATGGTCTTAAAAATGAGTAGCCAAGAGAACATAACAATTTGTTTTATCCTACCAAAAAAAAAACAATTTTTTTACGAGTCGACAGATGGTCTAAAAATTAACGGAGTGTCGCAAGAAGCACTTAGGTTAAGCCTTTACCTATGCTCTCTATTTTGCAAGGCACGAAGTTTCTCAACAATCAACCTCCATTCTCAATTTTTTCTTGGCAAAGTTCATGGCAAGATACTTCTCGCCTTCCAAGACGGTGGAGTTTCGACGAAAGATCACTCAATTTGCTCAAGAGGAGGATGAAACCTTAAGAGTTGCTTGGGAGTGCTATACCGACCTCTTACTTCAATGCCCTCACCATGGTTTTAACGAAGATTTAAGATTAGAACCTTTTACAAAATTCTCTTCCAAGATGATCGTATGCTCGTCGATTCCTAGTTTCAAGGGAACATGTGTTAGAAGACACCCACACATGTTATAAACGTGCTGCTATGGATCGGGAAATCGCTGGAATCGACAAAGCAAGAATACGAAAGCAAGAATCGAAAAACACAGACACACGATTTACGTGGTTCACGAACACGATGTGTGTTAGCTAGTACACGGGCGAGAGAGAGCCAGTTTTACTATATCGAGGAGATGAGAAGTATTTATACTTGTCCATGTGGGTCTAAACCTAATCCAATATGGCAAAGGAAACGGTTACAGACCAGGCCCAGAACCCGAGCCCAAATAACATTGAGCCCATACACCGCGGGCGGGGGACGTTGCCCCCGCATCCCCACCGGGGCGTTACCTCTGGACCCCACTCGCTGACCGGGCAGCGAGACCCCAGACTAGTCCAGTCATAGCGACTGATAGTCCAATTCAAGTCACATCAACAAATCTACACCTTGACTTGAATCCTCTTCCTCTGAAATCTCTGATGTACTCTACACCTACTCTCTCTCTCTCCCGCCATCAATGCCCCGTAGGGCGGAGTCACCCACTCAAGACATTAAGCAAGTCCAAGCAGTGTTGGAACTTTCCATGTGGAGCCGGTTTCGTGAATATACATGCAGGATTATCCGCGGTGCCAACCTTCTTCACCTTAATCCTCTTCTATGTCCTCAAGAAATGATACCTCGCGTCGATGTGCTTACTCCTCTCATGGTGGACTCGATCCTTGGCCAAGCATATTGCACTCAAACTGTCGCAATACACCACTACCTGATCATGATGTTGTCCCAAATCACCAACCAGTCCCTTCAACCATATTCCCTCCTTAGCAGCTTCTGTCAACGCCATATACTCTCCCTCAGTAGTAGACAATGTCACCACCGACTGCAGAGTTGTCTTCCATCTCACTACAGAACTCCCAAGAGTGAATACATAACTGGTCATCGATCTCCTCGTGTCAACATCTCCAGCATAGTCCGAGTCAGAATACCCAGACACCAAGCACTCTGTATCACTTCCGAAGCTAATCCCCACATCAGGTTTACCCTTAAGGTACCGTAAGATCCTCTTCATTGCCTGTCAATGCTCCTTCCCAGGTTGTATCATGAACCTGCTGACAACACTAACAACATGTGCAAAATCAGGTCTAGTGCATACCATAGCATACATCAAGCTACCTACTGCACTAGCATATGGGACTCTCGACATGTACTCCTTCTTAGCCTCTCACTGCGGTGCATAAGCTGAGGATAGATGAACATTTGAAGCACTAGGAGTATTTAAGGGCTTTGTTGAAGACATGCCAAACCTCGATAGTATCTTCTGGATGTAGCTCTTCTATGACAAGAAAAGCTTCTTCTTCAACCTGTCCCTGTAAATCTCCATACCCAAGATCTTCTGAGCAGCTCCCAAATCCTTCAACTCAAACACAACACTGAGAAGCCCCTTTAACTTCTGGATATCAGACTTTGACCTCGTAGTTATGAGCATATCATCCACATATAGAACAAGACAGATCATCGAACCATCCTCCACCTTGTTGTGATACACACAACAATGATATGGACTTCTGCTGTAGCCCAGATCAAGCATGTAACTGTCAAATCTCTTGTACCACTTCCTCGGAGACTACTTAAGTCCATGCCTGGACTTCTTCAGCTTACAAACATAGGTATCATTTGCTTGTGGGATTTGGGTGATGGATTTTGTACCAAAATCCCAAGCATAATGGAACTGGAACAAGTCCATTGTTTGCTAAGGGACACAAATCCGTGGGGCCCACGGATTTGGACCCATTTTTTAGATCCAAATCCGTGGACCCCACGGATTTGCAAATCCCACATTTCATTTGGGATTTGATAATGGAAGGCAAAATGTGAACAAATACATCATGAATCTATGACAAAAATAAACTACACAAACAATGTACTCTTCCAAATCCATAATGTAACAAATCCATCATAAATCCAAAGCTGTTGAAAACTCAAAACCCTCATTTTCAAATCCAACAAGCAAACGAGCCCATAGTCTTCTTTTCCTGGAATCTGGAATCCTTCCGGCTGAGTTATGTAAATTTCTTCCTCCAACTCTCCATGTAGGAAAGCTGTCTTCACGTCTAGCTGCTCAAGCTCCAAGTCTTAATGTGCCACTATTGCTAGTAGCACCCTGATCGAAGTATGTCTGACCACTGGTGAGAAAATCTCATTGTAGTCAACTCCTTCCCTCTATGAGAAGCCTCGTGAAACCACCCATGCTTTAAATTTCATGCCCTCTTCAGAAGTGATTTCTTCCTTCTTCTTGTAGATCCACTTGTTTGTAACAATCTTCGTTCCCTGTGGTCAATTGACTAGCTCCCAAGTTTGATTCCTGTCATGGGATTCCATCTCATATCTTATTGCGGCAAGCCACTGATCAGCTTCGTCACCTGAAACGCCTTCTCAATAGGAATGTGGTTAACCTACATCGACTTCTTTCGCAACCTGAAATGAATACGCCACCATGTTCTCGAAGCCATACCTCTGTGGAGGTACCCCTGCAGTCGCTCTCTTCGGTCCACCGGAAGCTATAGACTGTTGAGCTCTTGCACTGGACTCTAAAGTTTCTAGCTCTGCATAGACATCTTCATCATGTTGATCTTCTCCACCTTGGTACTCAAACTCACTCTCTTTGAGAGTTTGCAGCTCCACCTGTTTATCAACATTTTTTCTACCTTCAAAAACAGTAACATTCAACATGGGGTTAAACATCGACTTCTCATCAAATATCACATTTCTACTGAGTATAACTCGATTCTCAAAGGTGACCAGACTCAAAATCCCTTAACTCTATCTCCATAACCCACAAATACACCCTTCTTTGCCCTTGGATTCAGTTTACCCTCATCCGCATGATAATAAACAGGACACCCAAAAACTTTCAGTGAAGAGTAATCAACAGGCTTACCATACAACACTTCATAAGGAGTCTTAAACTCGATACCTGTGTGAGGTCCACGATTGATCAGGAAGCACGCCATGTTTACTGCTTCTGCCTAGAATCATCTCTCCAGTCCATCATTAGAGAGCATGCACTGTGCTCTCTCCAACAATGTCTGGTTCATCCTTTTGCAACGCCATTCTGTTGTGGTGTATCTCTAACGGTCCGATGACGGGCAATCCCTTCATCCTTGCAGAATTCGTTGAACTCAGAATTACAGAACTCCAAACCATTGTCCATTCGCAGCTTCTTGATCTTCTTCCCGATCTGATTCTCCACCAATGTCTTCCACTGCTTGAAATTCCTGAAAGCCTCACTTTTCTGCTTCATCATGAAAATCAAAGTAAATCTCGAATAACATCAATAATAGACAGAAAATACATGCTGCCTCCAATGGATTCAACTCGTGAAGGACCCCAACATTCGGAGTGGAGGTAAGCCAGTATCCCCTTCGTCCGGTGGATACCCTTTTTGGGAAACTTGCTGCGATGTAGCTTCCCAAACACACAATGCTCACAGAATTCCAAATTTTGCACCTTGTGCCCGCAAAGAAGATCCCTCTTCGAAAGAACTTGCATCCCTCGTGGACTCATATGGCCTAGTCTCATGTGCCAGAGAGTGGTCATATCTCCCTGATGAACCTGAGACGATGCAACTGCAGCAGAACCAGACAACACAGAACCTTGTAATGCATACAAGGTCCCACGCTTCACGCCCTTCAGCACCTTCCTTGAACCTTTGAAGACATACACAACTCCACCTTTTCCTTTGAAGATGAAACCCTTGTTGTCGAGTAGACTCAAAGAGATCAGGTTCTTTGTCATTCGTGGAACATGTCTGACATCATTCACGGTACAGAACGGACCATCATGTGCCTGAACCTTTATGGACCCGATTCCAACAACCTTTCAGACAACTCCATTTGCCATGACCACGTTACCACCATCTATATGCTCGTAGGTTGTGAAACAATTCTTGTTTGGAGACATATGAGGCTGCAGTATCCAGAAACCACACATCCACACGATGTGTCTTCTCATCTACAACCAAGGCGAGATCGTCTTCAAAACTGTTGTCCAGTTCTGCCATGACAACTGAACCTTGTTTCTTTCTTCTGTTGCCCTCTTTTCCTAGGACAGTTGTACTTCCAATGCCCCACTTCCTTACAGTTGTGACAAGCATCACCTGGCTGTGGACCGGGACCCTTGGAATTCTTGTTCGAATTCCATTTACCAGATTTCTTCTTTCCCTTTCCACCTGTAACAGCCAAATCCGATGCCTCACCACCTATACCAGATCCGGACACCTTATGCCTGATCTCTCTTGTAATGAAGAGCAGACCTGACATCCTCCAACGACATGCTTTCTTTTCCGACAATAAAAGAATCAACGAAATTCTCATATGAACTCGACAAAGAAACTAGCAGGATTAGGGCAGCATCCTCGTCATCAACTTGAACATCTATATTACGCAGATCCAGTAAAATAGAGTTAAGTTGTTCGAGATGTTCCCTCAAAGGCCTACCTTCTTGCATCCTCAAAGGCGTACCTTCTTGCATCCAAATAACATTGAGCCTATACACCGCGGGTCGGGGGTGTTTCCCCTGGACCCCACTCACTGACCGGAAGTGAGACCCTAGACTAATCTAGTCGTAGCGGCTGATAGTCCAATTCAAGTCACATCAACAACACAGATGACTGAGTTATTCAAAGAAATGGTGCCAAAAGGGTATGATTGTGGCACGACGAGGAGAGAAAGACGAACTCAGGAGAAATGAGTTCATGCTTCCGAAGCAATCTGTTCACTTAAAGCAGAGATTGATGAATTGATCAAGGTGTTATTGAAGGATAGAAATCAACAAAAAAAAATCCAAGTGATTGAGAATGGTGTTCAAGCCCCATGCATGCGTTGGAGGAGTGCCAAATTATGATGCAAGTCAATTTCATTTCACCACATAGATTCTTCTTGTGACTGTATTAGGGGCAGTCAGGTACCCCACAATCTTAGGTTTAATTGCTAACAAATAGTAACCCATAAGAAATTATGTACAAGACACCAATATAGAATTAGATGAGCATCATTTTCCATTGAAGATTTCATTAAAAATTAGTTGATTATCGATTAGTCCATTTCACGTGAACTTGTTGGAAAAATAAGAGACGTAATTTACACACATCGACGTAATTTACATACACGAGAGGGTACTCGCTGTAGAATTAACAAAAATCATCATCATGTACACTTCTCTCAATAGCTATCTATCTATGTATCTAATAGCTTCCAATACCTATCTACCTATGTTCTTACTGAGACAATATGTTCAGCAGAGCAGCTCTCGATTTGATCAATCTCCTGAAAACACCCTCCACACCACCCTCAATCTCTTTAAAACAGCTCTCCACCGATTCCAACTCCTTGTTACCCAATTCCTTCTTCTGATCATCCCCAACCAACAGAGCAACATCCGCAGCTTGAATCTCGTTCACCTCGCACCCAACAGCTGCCACCTTATGCCTTCTCATCAGCCTGGACGCAATCCCCCACTTGCTCTGCTTTTTCGCCCTGCAACCAACCGGCGTCGCAACGAAGTTCAGCAAAGCTTGCAATACGCAGCTGCTGGCCGCATTAACTTCTCCGAGAACCCTAACGACGTCGCCAAAGTGGTCATCATCGCCGTGATCGGCCGCCGTAAGTTTTAGATTGTTATTGCCCATCTGCTGCTTCAACTGCGCAACCAATTTCCTGGCGTCCTTCCTCGTCTTCCTCCTCAATTCAATGTAGTCAGAAACAGAGGATTCCAAAACAGAGTCGCTGCCTTTCCTTCTCCTTCGGATTGCGGACTGCAGGAAGGCCACATTTTCTCTTAGCCTCGAGATCACATCCTTGGCAATCTCGCAAGTGTCCAGGAGCTTGACGGATCCATTTAAGAACAACTCCCACTCCTCTGCCACGCATCGGCAAGACAGAGCCTCTTGAGTTGATGCCATGGCGAGAAGCTCGTCCAGGCTGTCGTAGACGTCTCTTAGAGTTGATAAACTATTGCAGATGGCGGAACTAGAAGAAGCCGATGATGGGTCGGAAGCTCTCAGCCTGGTGAGCTCCTCGTGGATTTTGATGGTTGTAGGGTGGGATCTGGCAGGCAAGCTCACTGATCTCGTCTGGAATTTAGCTGCCATTGTTGGTAATTAAAGTTGGCTTCTCTTTTCCTTTTCTTACGTACGTTGTTGGGTTACAGAGGAGTTTAGCAGCCGATGATGATGAGATAGTTTGGAAATGAGGAAATATGGTCTGCCATTCGTGTATTTATAATCAGGAAAGGATTCCATGAAGGGAGCATGTGAAGAGCAGAGAGGGAGCCTGCAAATTCCATGTTACATCACTGTCCGGCAAGCGTATCTCCAATCACAGGATTCTGTTTCTGTTTCTCTATGAGGTGGCCTGTGTTTTTGTCATCCGGGTGTCCCCTTTCCCCTTTTCTAACTAAATCTTTCGCAATGAGTCATTGCCCTAATTTGCCTCCCCTGCTGCCACATTACTCCCCTGCGCCCTAAACAATGATTTGTTTCTTCTCGTAAAGTAAGAAGAAGCATGCTTTTTCATCTTTTGTGTATGGAATAATGTGGCATTTCTTGGGAAGGGATGCACCAGAAAGAGACGACCCTGGAAAAAAGCATTAATTCTTGAGCAATGATACGATAGTTCAACATCTAGGCTTGAGTTGGTTTAGTATTAAAGAAAGAAACCACTATTGTTGGGTCAAAGGGGTAGTATTTTTTTTTATTTCTCACCTGCATGTCCTGATTTCAAACAATATATGAGCTGTCAAGAGAGGTAGGAGCACTATAGAGGTAGGAGCACTATACCCACCGTTCATGGATGTGGTCAGTTGGTCACTCAATACTAATGATATGAATAGGGGTGGGATATCCTTTCGGTCGGGGTAAAATCATATCATATCAAGATATTGACACGTAATTAATTACGATTAGTCAATTTTGAGATTAAAGTATATTGTGGGGTATTCAAGGATTGTAAAACCATGTCGGAGGCTGTAACCGGAAAAGTCAGCGATAGGGTATTTTATGCTAAAATCGTTTTTAATAATGGTTCAACCGTTTCATACGCCTACCAGTTGAACATCCAGTAGTAGGTTTTATCTGCTCGAACCGCTGGTACGATATCTCGCTTTAAACATCATCTTGCAGGAAGCCAAGAACAAAGAAGGATGTTGAGGGCTGGTGTTAGTGTTATGGATGAAGTCAAGGCCACAATGTTAGAGCCACTCAATGTAAATGGTAGTGGTGTTCAAAAGCAAGACTAAGTTCACTCAAATATTGAATCGAACTTCGAAAGGATTATACTAGTGGTAGTGGCACTAATAAACAAACTACAATTAGTGCACTTTTGAACACATATCTTATTCTTAAAGGCTTGCAAGATAATATTACCATGGCTTTATGAAAATGAGGTTCTATTTAATGCATGTAGAATCTCTAAATTTGATCAGATGTTTCAGGATGTAGCTTGACATGGTCCTGATTTTAAGGGTTTCATATCATGAGCTAAGGGAGACATTTCTGAAAGAGGAATAGAAAGAACTGGAGTGTGAATTGGAAATCTTCAAAGATGAATGCAAGGCAGTGGGTTGTACCATGATGTATGTTGGTTTGATGAATAAGAAAAGGCGAGTACTTCGTAACCTTTTGGTTAATAGTGCTAGAGGGTAGGGCTGGAAATTCTTCCTGTTTTTTTGTAAAACAAAAAATTGAACCATGTAAATAGATTCGCCTGCAAACGAAACCAGATAATAAACAATTCAAATTTTCCAGTAAAGAGAGTACTAACTCATTCCAATTACAACATCCAGATCAACGACCAAGTATATCCGCCGACCAGGTGTAGCATAGGGCAAGCAAGCAATAATGATTTATCGTACCACGGGGATCTAGACTTACCCTACTTCAGGTTTAGGGTTCATTATCTAGCCAACCTAGGATAATGATTAAGAGAATTAAACTAACTAACTTAGCTAATGTCCATCATCTAGCAAATGTCGATCATTTGCATTCAAATTATCAATATTCAAACATATGGTATAGATACTAACCACAGAACTAGTTCCAAAAGTCCTAAACTTCAAAGAAGAGTCCAATTCACAACCCTAATACTGTATAGGTAGCTTATAGTTCCTATGAGGTCTTTCTGGAGGTCCATATATTGAGGCTCTAAACCTGGTGTATAGTCAAGATCTTAAGATTTTGAAACTTCATCCCTTATGCTAACCAAGGAGCCCTGCGATCCGGGCACAAACCCCATAGAAGGAAGAGAGCAAATGGCTGGGAAAACAGCGGTAGGCGACCGGGGGTTGGCGGAAGGAATTTCTCCGATTTCTAAAAAGAAAGGGAGATCGGGAAAATTCATCAAGAGGCTGGTCAGTGACCTTAATCACTCGATCGTGTATTTTTCGGATTCGACCGAGTTTTCGTACCTGGTGACAGGATTTTGAAATTTTTAAGTTGTTATAATTGCTTTTAATATCCCATGCCTATATAAAGGCCGAAACTCAGGGTTTAGGGTTAGCTTTTAGTAGAATATTGATTTTTATCTTATTTTCAACCTTTATGGTAAACATGACCGAGCTTCTGAAACACTCACTGCTCATCTAAATGTGGTGTTCTAGACCCAATTCGACAAGAGCAACAAGCGTTTGGATGCTCTATGCCGCCAACAACAGAACTCCATCTGAATCCGGAGGGAGATCGACAGCAAGGCGTTCCGAGTGGAACCGACCAAGCCCTAGATGAAAGACTTTGCAACCTGGGGTGAAGATTGATCATAACATAGCCAAATCAAGTGCGTTCAGAACATCAATTTCGTGATTATGGAGGAAGGCCTCCAGAGGCAGGATGCGAAAGTATTATTCCTGAATTACGCGGAATCAAGCTATCAATTACGATGTTTCAAGGATCTCCTAATGCTTCTGCATACCTGGATTGGGAGAGGAAGATCATCTTCTTCTTCCAATGTGGCAACTACATCAAGCAGCAAAAGGTATCCATTGCCAAATATGAGTTCACTTATTATATAGCCGTATGGTGAGAGCAGGTACAGATCAAGAGAAGATGGAATCTGCAGCCGGATGTGACAACTTGGGCTGATTTTAGAGGGCTCGTGAGAGAGAGGTTCGTGCCAGGATACTATCAAAGAGAGCTCTTTGATTCCTTGCAGGGACTTCGACAAGGAGCACGATCTGTTGAGGAGTATTTATTGGGCTTGAACTGCTCATGATGAGAGCAGATGTGAGGGACGACAAAGAAGCAATGATTGCTCACTTCCTACATGGGCTCAATAGAGAGATCAGGCATGAAGTTGAGCTTTGTCATTTTGTGGAGCCGGAGGATGCGGTTCACCTAGCCACTAAGGTGGAGAAGCAGATGAAGGTGAGCTCGGGAAGAAGGTCCCGCCTTTGCTCAAACCAGTTGCAGAGGCCATTCTTGAGGCCAATGTGAATCACTCTAGGCCCGAGGGTGACAAGCTAGGAATATGGTCTCAGACATCCAAACCATGAATAAAGGCTCAACTGGAAGCATCCAATGCTTCAAGTGCTTGGGACGAGGTCACAAGGCCAACCAGTGCTTGCGAGATGGATAGTATTTTTCTAAGTAGGTGTATGAAGAGAAGTAGATGGGGTAGGGAATCGACCTCTATTATGTTGATGACGATGTGGATGAGCACATCAAGGTTGAGGAACCTCCACTCATTAAACTTCTTGGAGTGAACTGCCGAGCTTTATCTATTAAAGCTTACACAGAGACAGAGTAGAGGGATAATCTTTCCCACTCTCATTGCTTGGTCGACGTGAAAATGTTATATGTGGTCATCGATGGTGGTAGTTGCACCAATGTGATAAGTCTGGATGCAGTTAAGAAGCTAGGATTGAGCACCCTTAAACATCCTTAACCATACACTCTACATTGGCTGAACGATTACGGGAATATCAAATTCAACATGAAGGCCAGGTTTGTTTTCAAATCTGTGATTATGCAGATGAGATTTGGTGTGATGTTGCTCCAATGTAGGCTACTTATCTCCTATTGGGTCGTCCATGGCAATACGATCAGGTATTTTCCGGGTCCAACTGGGTTTCACACTTGGTGACGGTATTTTCCACTAAATCCATTGTCACCAGCTGAAGTTCAGTAAGATAAACAACAACTAGCAATGAGTTGCACCAAGGAGAAAGGAAAAGCAAGTGGTTCAACGTTGGAGTATGGAACTGGAGCACATCTTATGGCTCGAAAGAACATGTTGACTACATTGAGGATAATTCCATTTGGAAATGCCGTTGATGTTGTCTCTTGCTGGAAAACACAAGTTTTGAGGGCAAAGCTTCTCCAGCGGGGAGGGAATGATGCGAACCAAGCAGTGGTGGGATCCGAGCACAAATCCTAGAGAAGCAGGAGAGTAGATGGCGAGGAATGCACCAGCAGGAGATCAGGGGTTGGCAGAAGGAATCTCCCCGATCGGGGAAAAGAAAGAGAGATCGGGGAAATGCATCAGGAGCCCCCCCCCCCCCCCAACTAGGTTTCAGACTTGGTGACGGGATTTTGTAATTTTTAAGTTGTTTTAATTACTTTTAATTGCCCAGACCTATATGAAGGCTGAAACTCGGGTTTTAGGGTTCGTTTTTAGCAGAATATTGATTTTTATCTTGTTTTCGAGCTTTAGGATTGAAATTTTCTCTGTATCAATCAAGTTTTCCCCTTGATTGTGGTGAAGATTCTACCTTTTTATATTCCTAAAAATTCTTTATATTGTCCGTTCTTGAAGCTGCGTACTTTGATTACTACAGGTGCATCCGTGCTCATATCAATCACCTTTTATCAGAGGCTAGTCGACTAGGAGAAGGTGCAGTAGGAAAGGAATGTGAAGAGTAACCAGGATATTTGGAGGATTGAGGTAGTGTGAGAGTTGGAGGAGGATTTGAATAATAAAGACTTGAAGGAACATGATTAGATGTAGAGGTATTTTGACCAAATTATAGAGCCTTTCAAGCAATCATTTTTACTTCACTTTTGTGTTTTCATAAGCTATACCCAAAAAATAATTGATGGGAACAATCATCCACAATGACGAGAAAATAACTGAATCCATCACAAGAGATGATTAATAAAGGTCCCCAAATTTCCACAGCAATCAATTAGGAGATATTAGCTTCATTGTTGGTGCTAACATAAAAGAGTAATCTTTTGTGTTTGTAAATATGACATATACAA